ACACGTTTTCATGAATATTTATACATATAATCCGTTAATTCATTATAAATATTTTCATAAAACTTATAGGAATATTTTTATAAAAATTCGCGGTCTAGTAATTAGGATAATCTTAAATTACAAGCTGAATTAAAAATACAACTCACTTTTAAATTTCTTCGATGTAAATGTTCCTGTTACGTTCAATTTTCAAGGTATTTCGATAATTATCACCGTTCGTCGAGTCCTGTGAATTCCACGCTTCCAAGACAGAACTATATTATTAACCAAATAATCGTCCTAGACTCTTCCAGTAGTATTTCGAAACTGTTACTGTGGAACGTGGCCCGGGAACAGATCCGCGAACCCGAAGGTCGAATCTCGGTTGCTGAAAGTCGGGATTACTGCCAGTGGAATGAACAGCGTAGAAGGAAAACAGCGCGATCGAGATAAACAGAACGCCAGATGCTCGGAAATTCTATCGTGTGTCCGTACATAAGTGGCTCTAGGGGCGAAGTTTAACGTTTAACAACAGCGATCTTCTGGTTCACAAGGTTTTCTTTTAGTTTCCGTTATGTTCCGTTCGCTGATAATGGCGATGATGTGGTTGGACTGGGACGTCTCGGTTGTTCAGCTTTGGAAGAGGCTTGGAGGAGATGGCACTGAGAGGTACAAACGATTGTTCCTATTATGTGATGGCTGAATCGTAAATAGATCTGTTAATGGTGATAATTAGAACTTTCAACGTATAGTGTCTCAGAATTCTTGGTACCAACATTGTTAGCGTGTATTACATTATACTATACACGTCATGTAATAGGATAAATGTAGGGGTAAATGTGAGAAAGAAAAGTTGGATAAATGTAGGTTGTTTGAAAATTAACTCAAGACACTTTTATTACTTTTTATTGATTATTGAATATTTTTTAATGATTTTTAATAAATTCTCTGATAATTTTATAGGTATATAGATTTATTAACAATTTAAATGTAGCCTGTGGTGTTGAATTTTTTCAGTGTTCATACGTAATTAATACAGATGGTTTGAAATTAGCAATAGTTTATTAATGATAATAACAGTGAGATGATTTTGGTGTAGTAAAATGTTGTAGAGAATGTCAGATAGTGCATTATATGAAATAGGAAATGTTTAAACAATTATTCCTTGACGCAAATATATTATTACTTCAATTTTATTACTAAAGTGATTTTTATTTTGAGACTGATAGTAAAGATTAAAATCTTGCAGGTAAATTTCAAATTTTATTGGCACCATAAAGAATACTTTATAGTTCTTGCTTGCAGAAAAGATTTTATAGTTTAAGTACCTATTATAATTTAAAATGAAACGAGATGCAGACAAATCAGTGTGAAATCCAAGTCCGAGTCAAATATTATATCTATAAAATTGTCTCTTCTACTTTCATTTAATTATCTCTAACCCGATAATCGTAAAAGGGAAATAAAAACGCAAAATATAATATTTCCCTAAGTTCGTCATAAATAAGATTTTATTCTAGCTTCTGAATTAATCTCAAAACGAATTCTTTAACATGAGTATATTTTAACTACCATTTATACTAGGTAAAAATCACTCTGATATTACTAATAAAAAGAAATATATATATACATATATTATTAAAATATCTCGACTCTAACAGTATTAAAAGATTTAACGTTATTATCTTAAAATATTTCCGCTATAATATGATTAAAAAATTTGATATTCTTTAAAAATATTTTACCTTCAACGCTATTAGAAATTCCAAATCTATCATCTCAAAATACCTAAACTCGAATATTATCAAAAATACTCGAAAGAAAACAGTAGTTTCCCAGCGAAATTAAAAGAAAATAGGAATTAAAGGCAGGACGCGAATAAAAACGATCATCTATTTACAAATAGATCGTATATTTACATACTTAACGCAACACATACATTTTCATATATAAAAAATACAGTCGTACGCGCGCTATGTTCAACGAATAATAATGTCGATCGTTTATTTCATACAGACGACACGCCACATGCAGGAGACGTTATGTATACAGAAATAATAAATTAATTCGTTAAAACAAAAAAAAACAAAACATGAAATAAAACTAGAAAGAGAGATAGTACAAAGAAGAGCATAGAGGTGGATAGGAGCTAGGGGGCGAGTTGACGTGTTTTATGGCTTGGCAGCATCGTCACTGCGTATTTCTTAACAATGAGCATCTCTCTTAAGCTTATACGCTCTACTTATTTTACGTATCTGCAATACACCAAGTTATGCATAACCATTTGCCAGGCGGCGCTATAAAAGTAGAAGAAGTTTAAGATTACTCCGAATACGGAATGCGTGGTGGCCTGATCCGCAGGGCTGGGCTTCGAGTACGCGTCGATGAGCTAGCATGCGAACGCGTTAACGTTTTATTACCTATATTTCTGGCCAGTTATATTTCAGCTCGTGTGATCGCCTGTTATCAACCGTGCCCTGACAGCATTCGCGATTTTACTGCTTCTCTACGCGAAAGGTGACTGGTGTATCTTTGGGTGCTTGTACTTCGAAATGCCTCCGCATAGAAAGACATTTTAGCTCTCCTATCAAACGTTGCTACGATTAAACGATACACGGATTGTAAATACTGTTATCTTTACAGGCAATGTGATTTATGGAACGTAAGCACTTGGTCACAAAAGGTATTAGGGCAAACGTATCATTTGATTCTTGTGTACTGAATTTTAATCGAAGGTATCGTGCTTGGATGATAGCCATCTGATTGTGAGTGTGTAATCTGAGCAGAGCTGATTCTCTGATTGATTCTACATTGGAGACACTTGAAATTAGCATTTTTAGGTTCCTGGTGACTATAGATTGGGACCTAGGAGTAAGATAAGTTGATGATTAACTCTATCAGAAGTCTAGGTTGTAAGAATTTTTAGGTGTGCTATGACGATCTTTGAAATTTGCAGTAGCTGTCTGAAATTACAGAAATGGTGATTTTTAGTGGTGATCTTTCTTTGGTTTGTCATGGAATTTTAGTATTTAGTTTACATGTATAAAGAGTGAGTAGAAATTATGATCAATGCCCTATTTTGTTAAGTAGTTAAATGATACAGGTGTTGACATGCAGGTGATTCCTTTTCGATGTAGAATACAATCTGAGTGAATGCACCCTATCCTGTCTTTATGATAGTGTTGAAGAAGATGAGCCTATCACACTGTGATCAATTAGCAATTGGTTTGCAGTTCATCTGCATGATAAACAGGAAAAATGTATTGCGTTATGCTAGACTATTGTCAACTATTTGCAATCCAATAATTTTCAAAAAAATTATTTTCTTAATTTCATCATGGTTATCCCCATCTTTTCATCCTAAGAATTTTTCCTAGTGCATTACTTTCAATTATCATTTAACTTCTTGCAATACTCCTCACCCATAAAAGATTAACACGCAATAGAATATCTATAACAGCAAATATTCTCATATTTAACGCATTCACAAATTACTCGAATATTTAATTTCCCATTTAATCCCATTGAGAGACAAATCAGCGTCAAATTATTACGAGCCATGTCCAGTCCAACTTGCAAATTTACTGAAACATCGTCTCCATAGAAAGTGTCTATCGTGAACGCGGGTCTAAGACAATTAACAAGATCTCGCTAAAGTTCCAGACCGTGTACCACGCAACGGTGTTTCTATTTCCAATGCGATTAGCGCGCTCCGAGCACAGACCGAGGAGCCTAAAAACTGGTCCCCTCTGGCGCGGTATAACCGGTACCAGCGTACCTCATCGGGAAACAACGGACTAGATGTATGCATATCTACCTGTTATTGTCACAAAGGTATGCAAAACCATGGTGTATCGCGCTTGAACGCCCGCAGAGTCGAGCAGTGCGTTTCACTCGGAACGAGATTCCCGCGAAAGGCAGGTATCATTACCGCGAAACTGTTGGACGAGGTTCTGAACTTTCACCTCGGTGAAGGTTAAAGACATAGAAGCGCGCGGTGGACTGGCGGTCGTTCGATCACGTGCCTTCAACGTCGACGATGAAAGTTGCCCGATACGCCTGTCCTCAGGCTTTATTCGCTCCAAGTGGCAAAGATCTGTAATCGAACGACCTAGATCGACGAGGTATTGCAAAACGTAGTCACGGATCGCGTTAGGCACCTATGCGCCGATCGAGCGCACTTAAAGCAGCGATTCTGAGATTCGTTGGATCGCTCGCGAGACGAATGACTCGCGCGAATGGCCGTGACACGATTCCTCGTCGACCCCGAAGATGGATCCGATACTTATACTCTCTTTCGTTGGACGCGTGACTCCTCTCCTTCCTACGAAGAGTCTCCGAGCGTAGAAAGGGAGTAGAATGCTCTGTGTTCCGCGAACGGCACCTAAGAACACTCGAGAACTTTGGATCCTTGCCTCGATAACAATTAAACCTCGATAGGATCAGCCTTGATCCAGGTGAAACCCGTTCGTGTGAGAGGAAAGAAAGAGGAAAGAGACTTGTCGCGTTCACGTGATTGCTGCTTCGCAGAGGAACGAGAATTTCTTGAGCAAACAATAGCTCTGCTTCATAACCAGTCATCGATGTCGTATTAGCCATGAGCGATGAACGCTTTCACTTCGTAGGTGAAGAGAATGTCACTCGGAGTACCGAGTCTTTCCTTCAGTCTCTGTATTGCTACGAAATGGTACGTGTCATTGACAAAGATGTTTCTAGCTGATCGATGATCGATGAGTGGTCACTGCTACGACGTGAGACACGAGTAGTACCGATATCTAATGAGAACTGGTCGAGATCGTTCCCGCGAATGTGACATTAAATAGCTCTTAATTTGAAATACGCTTTAACTTAATGACTTTAATTACCATTTTCAACTTGTTACTACACCGCAGTGTCATTGACACCACGGTGAACTTGATCTTGGTAATGCAAATGAGGACGCAAACCCGTCCGTTATATAAATTATCATACGTTACCAATGAATCTATCAACGAAAGTATTTCCTAGATGATCGAAATGATTTAGGACGAGTTCGTCTTGCTAATGTTCTTCCCGTCATTAGACGAGACCGTTGACACGTTCTCATTTTTCGACACAGACCTGATCTCCTTCCTCGAGTCTCCGTATTGATTGTTGAAGAAGAGAGCAACAGCCTCCTTCTTCGCCGAGACGTCTTTATTAAATTCAGCTTCGTTCCTGTCACTGGCATGTCCAATCAATCCATCGATATCTTTCCTTTGATCGTTCTCTTCCACGGTGATATAATGTCCTTTAGGAATGTCAGCATTCTGTGGTAAATCGCTATAGATGTGTTGCAGCTGTTGAGCCTCTGGGTGACCCTGAACCTGTATCTGGCCCTGTTCAGGCTGCTCGATAGCCGCGAGAATATCTTGCAGGAGGCCATTAGATAGTACCTGATCGTGCCTAATACTGCCATCCGAATTCTCCGTTCCTAATCCTCCGTCAGCAGCTTGAATCTGCAACGTGTAGGTTCCCTTGGAGCCTTGGACCTCGAAACCGTCAGCTCCATTAGCTGTCAGACCCTTAGCCAGGGACAGAGCTTCGCTGCCTTCGTGGGTGTTCAGAAATTGACTAGCATCCACTTCGTTCAGGCCTAGATTCTTCGCCTGACCGTATCCTTGATCGTTCAAGCTAGAGGTCAGTGCCTCGGCTCTTGCATCACCGATATCCTGTTCAGACTGAACGTTCGGGAATGATTCGTGAGATTGCGAGGCAGGTGGCGCTGATAGCACATTAGCGACTTCCGCTGACTGGCTGTGATCACTGGACAAGACGTTGTCATGATTCTCAGAAACGCTGTAGGTCCCGCCTATCGAGCTCCCGTAGCTGTCTTTCAGATTCGCCTTCGGTTGTTCGAAATGCTGCAGGCTTAGCTGACCGATCGACTGAGGGAGGCTTATGCCACCTGCACCACTTGGCAGAGATTCCACCTTAAATAGCGAATGCTGATTCAGACCTGTAGGCAGAGCAGCACCGAAACTGACGCCATGAGACCCAGCGTTCAGCGAGTGACTCGTAGTGTCTTCGAAGCTGTACTGGGCACCAGCGCCTCCCTGTTGAAAACCGCAGTCGTGTCCACCACCTGTCGACAATGGTAAATTCACAACCGGGGTGCCATAGGTGGTTGTTATGGTGTTACTGACGCTGTCGTATAAATTGCTTCCAAAGCCAGCGGAGGTGGAGACGAAGGAAGAAGCGGGTCCAAAGTTAGGCGCTCCGTACGTCAACACAGGTGCCGGGGTGTTAAAGTCGCCGAACGACAATGGCGTTCCGTATTGCGCATTCGGGGCTGCTATTGGCGAATTCAAGCTGACACTGGGTAGTTTGTTGAAAGCAATCGGAGCGTGAAGAGTGGGTAACTGTTGCTCGAACGATAATGGTGGAAGGTATGTCTTTGGCGATTTAGCTAACTCGAGGTGTCTAGGTGGCGGAACATGACGGTTGAGGTTAGTTAGAAGTCCGCTAGGAATGGGTTCTTTGAACTTGATCGGTTCACGGTTCCTGGGAGGGATCAGAGTGCCTGGAGGAGCTAGAGGTGGCCTGAAGGACCCGTGAGGACGATGGTGATGCACACTTTGCTTGTAAAGGGAACCACCATGCAGTCCGAACGAAGCGAAGGATGAGGCCCGACCTGCCTCCGCAGCTGGGTAAGGACCATTCGGCGAGTAAGACGACAGGGGAGGTAAACTGTAGGAATCGAGGACAGGTGGCGGAGGCAAAGGTATGCCGGATTCGATGGAGTTCAATTTTCCGAAGGAAATGCCTGATAAGGGAGGACCGTAGCTATTGGATAGTGCGTTTAGCGATATTTGTGACAGGGATAAGTCGTTACCCAAATTTTGGAACGCATGAGAGTCTCCGCTACCGAGATTGAAATGGGACCCGGTATCAAGCACTGGTAATTTTATGGTAGGCAACGATCCTGCACTAAGGTCCAAACTTAATGGTGAACTGGTAGGCAGTATCTCGAATCCAACGGTCTTTACGATAGAAAGCGGCTCTACCTTGGGCACTTCGTATTGTAAATTGATCTGACCTTGTACACCCTTTTGCGAGTGTTCCTTCTTTGGCGGGCTTTCGTTGTGGAACGGTTCGTATTCCGGCAATGGTGGCGGTGGTAAACCTTTATTTTCGTTAGAACCAGAATTCACCGAGCTCTTCAAGTCTTGAGCTTCTGGACTGTGAATTGGAACTCCGTACGAATCATTTGGCACGTTTGGATTCTCGACGACGTGGTTGGCAGAGTGTCCAATGTGATGCCCCACGGATGGTCCTTCCAGAACCTTATGCTCGTCAGGTGGAAGCCCATAGGAGTTCGTGGGTGGTCCATGTTGATTCGACAGTCCCGCAATGGGTTGCCAGCCGTCGTACTTGATGTCAGGTGGTGTAGGTGGCGCTGGTACTCCTGGCGGAGGAACTGGTGGGTGAACTTGAGGTGGAACCTGTGGAGGTGGTCTGAACAGATCATCGGCTGGTGGTCCATATTGAACCTCAGCCAGTAACGGCAGCGAAGGTGGTGGAGGTGGTCCGTAGTTGTCATTGGGTTGAGAAGTGAATTGAACGGCTAATTTTTGCGGAGACAACGCGAACGCGTCGATAGACACCGGAATAGCTGGCCCATGTGTGGGTTTCGCTGACCCGAGACTGGAAGGTCCTATACCGATGTACTGATTGGACACGGAAGAAGTGAATTTCAATGGCGGACCATACTGTGGTTTCGGTGGCCTAAACGAAGCGAATGAATACGGTGGGCCATAGTGTTGTTTCGGTGGCCCGTAGTGAAGTTTCAGCGAGCCAAAGCTCAGCTTCGAAGGCAAAGGGGACAAAGGAGGGCCGAAACTTTGTTTTGGTGGCCCATGAAGCGGTTTAATATTTCGTGGCGGTCCATATGAGGACAATGGTGGCCCGTAGACAGGTGGTGGGACGTCTGGCGGCGGTGGTGGGTATATGGGAGTTGGTCCTTGATCACCTACTAGCTCTGGCGGACCGTAAACCGGTGCTGGTCCTTTAATACTCGACCCAAGTGGTGGACCATAGTCGTCTGAGGGTGGACCATACACGTTACTTATCCTTTCGTCAGCCTTAATTTCGTTCTGCTTATCTTCTTCATTGTTAGCTGGCGCTTGCGACTGCGCTTTGTTAATCACTGCCTGAACCTGGTGCCCGATCAGCAGGACGCAGAGCAGCGTAATCGTCATCTGGAACAAAATGGAGAATTTCTCTAAATTTCCTTCTGTCGTGATTTAATAATATCGGTAGCAAGTACAGTTTCCTTATTATAGCACGATAGAAATGAAGGATAAGCGCTTATTTGTTAAACGATTATGGTGATAGTCTTCGATTGAAGTGTAACAAGGATGAACCAGAGCGTAACTATAGGTAATTTATTCAATTTTTTCGATGAAATAATTAAGCAACGAGGTTAGGGAAAATGAACTACGTGGTTAAAGCGATTACTGTTACTCTATAAAATTTAAGGACCATAATGTTTATTAATAATTAAGTTATTAACTACGATATTGTGTACTTCCTCGAACGTTGCACTTGTGCTCTTTTCAGCAAGAGCCAAACTGTTTTCAGTGACTGCATATTGCAGTGTGATTATATCACATATGGCACTAATTGGTATGTTAGTGGCTAACGCTAACTTCAGTTAGGACACCGATGAGCATGTCATATCAGTGAAGTTTAACTCTTTGCGACACAGGATTATAAATGAAACAAAATTGGTATATTTTTACTAATAAAGGGATCACATAATGTAAAAACATTAAACCAGGAAAACAAGATTGTCGCAATAAACCTTCCGCTTGCAAAAATTGATGAACCTGTACTGGCATGTTGAATGTTGCCAACACAAGCGAATATATTTATAACATTTGTCGAAGGTATTACCAACTGCTTTACGTAAATAAGACAAAATATAAACCTATGCGCATGCAGCTATTGCAATATTTCGAGGTGTGACTAGAAATGCCCCACCATGCATTACGGTGCATCAAAAGGTTTGGACACTTTTAATCCCAGCGTGCCCCAAAGAGTTAAGGTAGTCGATTGTTTGACTGATTTTGGCTTCAACTCGTCACTTCGAGTAATTCTGCGTTTTTAATTAACGAATCTTTTGGTCTTGATGATGTCTAGTGTTGAAATCTTACTAACATAAGTCTAAGTTTCATTAATCAACGTTTTATCATTTAATCGTTCATACTTTGTTCAGGAAAAAGTTTATTTAGGTATCTTAAATACTTTAATACTTGTATATAGTTTGAAATTGAATGATTAAAGAATAATATCGTACTCTACTCGGGTAAATAGTCTTTTCCATTATTTTTAGGAGTGAATATAAAGTTATGGAAATTTCCTGGTTCAAGGGTTAGCCGACTAGTCTAGCTAGCCTTCTCCTGTTCTAATTAGTCCGCTGGGAACATAAGTATAGCTTAGTATCGTGTACACATTTCGCTCGTGCCAGCACATATTGTCTAGGGTTCCGAATTGAAGGCCGTGAGAGACTTTAAGCTAGTTTACAACCTCGGTTGGCGCAAGGCGAACCAGTCATCCCGATGTATGCGAGAATTATGTGAACCTGCATTTACTCGCTGTAAGTATTAAACGCATGCGCCCGTGAATAATTGCGCTAATTGCAAAGATGGCGTACGACGGGATAGCAAAAGAAATTGCATTTTCACTTTAATTTCCGATTGTCTCTGACCAGGTTTGCCGCGTTGTTAAATAATGCTAGTCCAATTGATAACTTGACTGATTGAATCGAAAGTTATAGTTTCATTGTCAAAACCATAAATTATCTAATACTCTCGTCCATTTTCCTAGAAGAGACGTTGTATTGAACAGTGGAAGATTAATGATTCGGAACTGTAATGCAGGGCTTTTTGTAATAAATATTTTTAACCATTTTTGTCTCATTGTATACCAAAAGGAAACGATATTTCTCCTTTTTCTTTGATTGTATTGATAAAGAAATAAATATTTGACTGTTTCACAAGAAAAAAGGAATAATAATATTTCTTTCCTTTTTTGGGAGCAAAAATTAAATTTTGTTTCGCTGTGCATGAAGTAATACTTACTCTTGCAAACCTAATAATACGATAAGAATTTTGGGAAATTTTATGTTTATAAAATTTGTTTAGGACTCCATTTATTTATAATGAAAATATATAATAAAGATATATTGTTTTAATTTATATAAAATAATATTTATTCGTTATTTTTCTTTGCTTTACATATATTAAACGAGATATTCCAGATCAAATTTCTTCTGTATTTTTAAATAATTTTCTCCAATAATTATTATCACGCTATATTAACTTGCATTTAAAAATTTCGACAACACCCATAGATGTCCCGCAGTATACCGATTAAAAATCACTAATTTTTATTAGTTTATAGCGCAATCATTTTGCTTACACAGCACTTGCTACTTAAAATAATAAATTATTGTAAATAATGAAAATTACTAGCCACTTCAGAATAAAAACGCAACATACCAATTTCATCCACGATAGGAATTACCAGCAGGAGAAAAGATTTACGGTAATAAAGTAGCAATATTCGAGTATAGGTTAACTGACCTAGTTCACCTTCACCGACTGAACGTATGAAGCGTCATGAGCGTAACGCGTGTCGTAATTTGTTATGCACGATGACCAGAAATAAAGCTTACAGTCGTCTTTCCCGAGAAAATGTCACGAAGCCCCAACATAGTCCAAAGTGAGAATAAAAATGGCCAAAGAGCGTGTCTTTTCAGAACAATTGTCCCGCCCCGTTGCACCGTGGCAATCAGTTCGTTTCCCATAAAAGATGTCAGATAGAGAACAAGAAGCTGCGTACGAGTTTGAAGTAGTAAATGTCACGAAGAAGTCATCCTTGGGAGTCTAAAGTGGCACAATGACCGAGATGCAAGGTTAACATAATATGCCGCACTTTCTCCCAAGTGCATCAGAGAGGAGTGCAGCAAGAGTACGCTGCAATGAGCAAAGAAACGTAGGAATACAAATGTTATCTCGGGTTTCTATATTTCCAGGTACTTAATGGCCCCTATTAACCGAAATTCTTACGTTTTTACGAGCCTTCGCGCGGAAATGGCACTTTTGGAAATAAAGTTCGTTGAACTGTCATTAGAGTTTGCAATCGTTGCGAATAAATTCTCGATTTATTTAATCGTTTTGTTTCCTGGAAATCATATGAGCTTGGATTTTTATAGATTTATCTATCTCGCGTGGGTCGCATGAAAATACCGTAATGTAATCTATGTAAATGTACGTGCTCCTCGTTTACTTCTTCCTCCTGAATGTTGAGTATTTTTCTTTCTCTCTTTTTCTTGTTTGTTGCGCAGATAATTTTACGAATGTTGAGTTTGTTCGTTTGTTTTTTCATTGAGGCAAATGGAAGCTTACAGAAATTGGGTGAATTTATTTTTTATGCAGATTAAGGAGCCTTTGTTTCTATTTATACGTAGGTTTTGCGAAATGAGTTTATGAAAATTTAGAAATTTAAATTTATTTATTATCCGAGTTGAAGTATAATTTTTTAATTGTTATTATGTTCATCAATTATTTGTTATTTGATTTGAAAATTAATTTTTTAGTTATTATTATTAATTATTTATCAATTGTTTATTATCTGAGTTAAAGTTTTATTTTTTAATTATTGTTATTCATTATTAATCAATTATTTATATCGTCCTGTGTAAAAAATATTTTACGATAGTAAGTATTAAATATTAGGTACTAAATCGTGGAATGTTACAGATGTTACATTTAACACGCGTATTTCTTGCCGTAACCTTGTTTTCGTACGTCAATAATTGTACAAATAGGGCACGGAAAGCTTCGATTTCTGCTCGGTTTTGATGGAAAAAAGAGAATTACTCCCACTTGTAACTATGTGACAGGTAATAAGTTACGCTGTTACCGTAGATAGCGTGAGTTGGAAGCATTTGTCAGAAAAATAGCATTGATCGATGAGCTCTGAGAGTATTTTCAGATCTTTGTATTTTTCTTTTATCAGAATGCTCGGCATTGGCATTCCTCGTCTTTGTGCATTATATGGCGAAATTAGAATAAAAATTACCATACAAAATACACATACATATTAACGCGGCTTTGAATTATGCATTTTCTTCAAATTATTTGAAATTGAAGAGTTCTGCAGCGATACTCGTACATGATATCACGGTACTTCAAAAATCATAAAATCTTACGAATTCATTTGACTATTGCCATGTAATTATTTCGTACTTTTCGATATGATATACATAGGAAGGAATTTAAATATGCAATCTGTATGAAACTCTTGCACAGAATATGCGTGCAAGAGCAACAAGCACAAACGTTATATACATTACATGCATAGAATATAAACATGAAATCTGTATGAGATTTTAGCGTGGAATATAAAAGCTGATAGAAACAATTTCAAGGAAAGCTAGAAACCTGAAATTTGGAAATTATTATTGTTTGCTATAAGACTTGATAGAGTAGTATTATTCTAAAATTCATTACTTAAATTGCTTAAAATTATTTAAATTAGAGAAGAAGGTATTTCAATTTAGCTAGAAGATCAGTATACATTATAATATACATTATTAATTATATTAAGCTTGTTAATGATATTAAGCTTATATTATTATATATTTATTTAAATATATAACTTACTTATATAAATATATGAATGAAAATATATATTCTTTCCTTATTTTTTCTATTTATACTGTATATAATATAATGTGATCAAATAAGTATTTTGTAAATTTTATGACTATAAGAAGCACAATGATTTTGGCAATTTTCGGTATAGTTATTCATTAATCACAATTAAATGCATGCTATATATAGATCTGAGTTTTGTAAAACACACGATGAAATTATCTTCATATATCACTAGACATCCGCATTAACACATCTCAGTAAAAAGTCATTAACGATCAATGGATAACTCTAATCCGACAGTTGGCTTGATGAGCGCAGTCAGGATACTTCGAGTCGAGATTAGTGGGTTGCGTGTCTTAGATATGTACCGGTGTATCTTAATAAACGGGCCCCCTATCAAAGGCGAATTTAGCACACGTATATCATAAAAGAAGGTCGTGTAAACGTTTGAACTCAACTTTCTTATAATATTCCAAGTCGTATCTGTGTTAAATGCATATTTCTTCGAGGTCACTAGGAATGATGATGGAATT